AAAAAAAAAAAACAAGAAACACCCCCCCCCCCCAAAAAAAACACAACAATTAGCATGGTTCAAGTTGTATACCTGAATTCTTTGGACGAGGGATCTATTTTCTTCTACCTTTGGCACTGATTGACATCTATTCCTTTCTACAAGTGATGAATCACCATCAAGCATGTCCCTTAGAGAGGAAAACCTGTTTATGTCAGAGTCACTGTGGTTTTGGCAAGTTGACAATTGACACACATAGCTTAGATCTTTGAATTCATCATCAGTGGTTCTGCTCTTCAATGAATCCAATAATCCTCGATCTACATCAATACCAGGCAAATTGAAAGTCTGTTTACAAACATTGGCTTGATCACAATTTGTGGTTCCACCCTGACCTGCTCTTAATGAAAGGTCCTTCAAATTTGTAGCCAGGGTGTCCAACTCTTTCAGGGATGGTGGTAAGGAAAGATACTCCTCGTCACTATCCAGATCCTTCTGTAATGGTAATACACTTGTGCTTGCCAGAAACTGACCTGGCTTTTGTAAACTTTCTCTAGTAGACCTGTCTGCTGTCAACAGTTTATCAAACACATTATATTTGGGAAGACAAAAAGAGCCTGCTGATTCCTTAGCAAGGTCTACTTTGCTGTTATAAGGCGAGAGGTCCCCATCAGATTCAGATGTTAAACGAGAAGACTCTGAGGGGTTCCGTAGACTACGATAACCAGTTCTTCTAAATATAGGTGTTGAAAAGGCATGTGGTGATTTCAGGACATTTGTATGTGAAGGACTACCAGGCTTTAGTTTAGCATCTTCTCGATATGAAGAGCCAAAAGAGCCAAACTTACTCTCGCATAAGTGATTATAGCTGCCAAGATCTACTCCAGAATCTTGGAAAAAAACATCTGTTACTGTCTCTTCATTACCCTTATTCAAAAAACTCTTTGGATTCAATGGATATGTATAATCTAGCAACTCCTTGTACTCTTTATTTGGGTCCCAGTTGGGAGAATCTCTATTAGGATGGGGTGGAAGAGCATTTGGAATTGCACAAGCCCAATACTGTTCTTGTAAGGTTTGGGGTTTTTGTGAATATTGTTCAGAATCAGCACTCTGGTTAAAATTAGAATGTAAAGAGTTGTAAGCACCCTTCGGCTGGGCAGCTGAAATGTCACAATAAGACCACGAAGAGTCCTTAAAAGTTCTCAACTTTACTTGATCCGGCTCAAAGTCATCGTTCTCATCCGACATTCTAGTTGTAGGGTCTGCGGTTAAAGAATAATGTTCAGCTTTGTACAATGGATGATGATTGAAAGTGTGTGGCAGAAAGTCCTTCTGGGCAGATGAATCCATTTCAGGAAAACTTTGCGTCAGAGCCAGTAAGCATAGCATGAGAACTTCCCGTCTTCTTTCTTAGAAAACAAAAAACAAAAAAACGAGTCAGTCATAATAAAAGATACTGAAAAAAAAAAAAATCGAAAACCACCAAAGCAGATTCCAAATGTCCCATTTTTATACATTTTCACAACCTTTAAAGTAAATGTTCTAAGCTGTTGTGCTTTTTAATGTTATTATTTCCTGATAAAACATATTGGAGGGAAACAACTGAAGCAAATATTACAGAAACAAGTGGAAAAGAGCTGACACTCGTAGGAATCCTCTTCATTGTTTCTTTATTGAAAAGGCATCAAAGCAGCTACAAAGGGTGCCCACATGTTACAGTCCCCCAAGGGACCTTAATCATAGCTATTAAAACATGTGGGCACCCTTTGTAGCTGCTTTTATGCCTTTTCAATAAAGAAACACCATTAAGAGGATTCCTTAAGAGCACTCCGACGTTTAAGAGCGATATGTAACATGTGCGGCACAATTGTCATTTTCGCACGTAGATGCACCCGACGCATATCTGCGTGTTTATGTGGGGGGCAGGGACTTAAAAAAAATTGTTTTCTTTTCAATTTTTTTTTTTATGATTCTTTAATTTTTGTATAACTTTTGTTTTTGTTTTTTACACACAGCTTTATTGCTATTACATGGGGGGCTAAGAAGCCCCCTCTGTGATAGCCAATTTACATGACCGGTCCTCTTTATGGAGACATCAGGGGTCCCCCAGAGAAGCTGATGAAGCAGAGATCAGCTTCATCAGCTTCTGTAGCTGGAGAGTGACACTGAATGCAGGAAGTGATGTAATATACATCACTTCCTGCATTCGGGGACTGAGAGAAGATCAAAGGGAGACCGCATACTGATCTCCCTTTGATCTCCGGTCACAGAGCCGTGCCGGTCCCGACCGCATCGGGCACAGCGGATCTCGGGACCGGGCAACGGCAGTGACAGCTGCTAATACAGGCAATCGAGCGTCTCTAGAGCTCCCGGCCGTGTAATTACAACGGCCGGAGAATTTATCAAAACTGGAGGAGGTGTGCACAGCAACCAAATCAGCATCCACCTTTCATTTTCAAACCTTAACTGAACAAACTGAAGAGAGACGCCGATTGGTTGCCATAGGCAACTGCTCCAGATTCTTCTGCTCCAGTTTTGATAAACTCCCCCATGGTGCTTTGGCCACATCTTTAATGTAAGTGAATTTGCAGCAGTTTTCTGCAGGAAAATATATGACAGTAGTAGTTATGCTTTACATGTTCCATTAAGCATTACTGGTTTCACTTTTATCATATGTGAGCAGACTGTGTCCAGAGTTAATCTGCTATGAAAGAAAATGTTTTGCATTCACAGTCCCAAATGTTTCAGATATGTCTGTATTTATTTTGATTATAGTAATCATTCAAGGAGTAAATCAGAACCTTTTCTACAGGTAGACAAAAATATGTATTACAGACAGCACAGCAGGTGAACACGTCTCCCAGTGACTGCATACGTCTGTCTGCATCACAAAATCAACTGTTCTGGCAGCCTGACGCTGGGAACACACAGAGCCCCATTGGTGACCCTATCCCCTCAACAGAAGTCAATCACTAGATCTCATTTTACAGGAGGAATTGTTGAAAATACCTTGGCTGGTGCTTGCAGCTCACAGCGGGATTTTCATTTATCCATGCTGCTAAGCCCGCAGGTTGAATGAAAAAATATAACCGTGTATACCCGACTTTACAGAGCACTGGGGAGCCAAAGACAGGCAAGTGAGTGCAGCCGGGGATAGCGGCAGTCAAAATGAACCTGTTACTATTCCCAGCTTCAGCAAAATATACATTTACTTTACATCACGTTATTCCCCAATGCCCACCGAGGTTTTCCATTGCTTACTATATGAAAAGTGTATTCTGCCATCTAATTAATAAAAATAAGAAGCCAGTAAAACATTATCTACTCTTCAGTCCGCATTCTGGAGACTCCGATCTCCATCTGCCAAAATGGGTCTCCCACAAACATTCTACGGTAACTCCATTAGCTTTAAAGCACAATTAAACTTTAAGGGGCCTATTCATAATTGTACATTGTGGCATCTTGTGCATTAAAGCACGTTGCCACAACACACCTGCTCTGTGTGTGGTGCATTGCTATTCACTGTCACTAGGAATGCACCAATGCTAGAATACTCATACTCTCCCAGTGCCTATCTTCTTCTAGGAACTTCTAGTATCAGGAAGCTGTGCGGCGTGTAATGACTCGCCACCTGGCTTCCTGATTGGTTAGGAAGCTGGCCAATCAGGAAGCTGGACGGAGAGTCATTACCCACCCCCAGCTTCCTGATTAGCCGGCTCCATGGTGACGAGGAAGCATGGAGCCAGCTTCCCGGCTAAGGAAGCATATAATGACTCGGTGCCCCGCTTTCTGATAGGTCGGGAAGCTGGCCATTCAGGAAGCCAGACAGCGAGTCATTACCCGGCTTCCTTTCTAGCCTGCGCTCAGGATCCGGCAATTCAGTTGGCTGCCCTGAGGACCCTGCACCACCCTCCTCGGCTGCAGGTTTCTCCTCGCCTTTGTGGCTCCAGAAAGTCCCACTGTGTGTATCCAGGACTGACCGTGTGTTCGAGCACTACAAGAGTCGGCAGTCCCTATCCATTTAATGGACAGGGACTGCTGACACTTGTAGTGTCCTCACACACAGGGCGGCAAGACTGTCATATGATTAGTGGGCCTGAGCTTTGTACCACACCAAGCAGCAGGGTTAATTTTTTTTTCCTCTTCTTATGCCGGGCCCCTGATTTTATTAACAACAGTCGGCATGGCCCTTGGTAAGTTTGGATTTGACACCCCTGATCTATGCGGAGTCGGATGTAAACAGACATGTGTGCATTTACATGAAATTACCCCCAATCCATCACGATCAGGACCGCCAGAACAAAAATGTGTACCATTTGGTTTTCTGGATCTGATCAGAGTCAGGGGTAATCAGATCTGGGCTTTGCATAGACAAACATTGGACTTCCAATCAGATCCACCTAAAAAACTGATGGGTGGACCTGATCTGACGGCATGTTGGAAAGGGTTCTGACACAGTACTAGAACACAATCATAAAAATACAGAAGCCTAAACTGTAATACTCAACAAAAAATATAATAGTTACTATCAAGTGAAAAGTGACAATTTCACGTCAACAAACCAAAACTGTGAATTAATACATCAAACCCCCGTGTAAATTCTGTTACAACAATTAAAGATCAGAAATGTGATCTGTGAAGATCCAGTGCAACCAGGAAGATCCACTAATTCCGTATGCCAGTGATTGTATCCACCACCATGCCCACCCTTCTTGCAGTACAGTCAGCAGAGTTGATGTGACTAGGGCTGCAACAACTAATCGACATAATCAATTATTGAAAAAGTTGTCAACTTTTTCAATCATCGATTAATCGGCTTCCGATTGGTTGGCCCTGTTCACGACAGCTACAAAGGGTGCCCACATGTTACAGTCCCCCAAGGGACCTTAATCATAGCTATTAAAACATGTGGGCACCCTTTGTAGCTGCTTTTATGCCTTTTCAATAAAGAAACACCATTAAGAGGATTCCTTAAGAGCACTCCGACGTTTAAGAGCGATATGTAACATGTGCGGCACAATTGTCATTTTCGCACGTAGATGCACCCGACGCATATCTGCGTGTTTATGTGGGGGGCAGGGACTTAAAAAAAATTGTTTTCTTTTCAATTTTTTTTTTTATGATTCTTTAATTTTTGTATAACTTTTGTTTTTGTTTTTTACACACAGCTTTATTGCTATTACATGGGGGGCTAAGAAGCCCCCTCTGTGATAGCCAATTTACATGACCGGTCCTCTTTATGGAGACATCAGGGGTCCCCCAGAGAAGCTGATGAAGCAGAGATCAGCTTCATCAGCTTCTGTAGCTGGAGAGTGACACTGAATGCAGGAAGTGATGTAATATACATCACTTCCTGCATTCGGGGACTGAGAGAAGATCAAAGGGAGACCGCATACTGATCTCCCTTTGATCTCCGGTCACAGAGCCGTGCCGGTCCCGACCGCATCGGGCACAGCGGATCTCGGGACCGGGCAACGGCAGTGACAGCTGCTAATACAGGCAATCGAGCGTCTCTAGAGCTCCCGGCCGTGTAATTACAACGGCCGGAGAATTTATCAAAACTGGAGGAGGTGTGCACAGCAACCAAATCAGCATCCACCTTTCATTTTCAAACCTTAACTGAACAAACTGAAGAGAGACGCCGATTGGTTGCCATAGGCAACTGCTCCAGATTCTTCTGCTCCAGTTTTGATAAACTCCCCCATGGTGCTTTGGCCACATCTTTAATGTAAGTGAATTTGCAGCAGTTTTCTGCAGGAAAATATATGACAGTAGTAGTTATGCTTTACATGTTCCATTAAGCATTACTGGTTTCACTTTTATCATATGTGAGCAGACTGTGTCCAGAGTTAATCTGCTATGAAAGAAAATGTTTTGCATTCACAGTCCCAAATGTTTCAGATATGTCTGTATTTATTTTGATTATAGTAATCATTCAAGGAGTAAATCAGAACCTTTTCTACAGGTAGACAAAAATATGTATTACAGACAGCACAGCAGGTGAACACGTCTCCCAGTGACTGCATACGTCTGTCTGCATCACAAAATCAACTGTTCTGGCAGCCTGACGCTGGGAACACACAGAGCCCCATTGGTGACCCTATCCCCTCAACAGAAGTCAATCACTAGATCTCATTTTACAGGAGGAATTGTTGAAAATACCTTGGCTGGTGCTTGCAGCTCACAGCGGGATTTTCATTTATCCATGCTGCTAAGCCCGCAGGTTGAATGAAAAAATATAACCGTGT